CTTCTGTGTAGCTGGGACTATTCATGGCACCAGGCCTGGCTAATTTTTTCAAATTTTTGTAGAGACAGGGCCTCAATATGTTGCCCAGATTGTTCTTAAACGCCTGACCTCAAGCAATTCTTTTGCCTCAGCCTCCCAAAGTGCTGGGATTAGAGGTGTGAACCCATACATGGCCCAAATTAATTTTTTGGCTGGGCATGGTGGCTCATGCCTGTAGTGGGAGGATGAGGAGGGTGGATTGCCTGAGCTCAGGAGTTTGCGACCAGCCTGGGCAAGACAGTGAAACCCCGTTTATACTAAAATACAAAAAATTAGCTAGGCATTGCAGTGTATGCCTGTAATCCCAGCTACTTGGGAGGCCGAGGCAGAAGAATCAGTTGAACCCAGGAGGCAGAGGTTGCAGTGAGCTGAGATCCCACCACTGCACTACAGCCTGGGTGACAGAGTGAGACTCTGTCACAAAAAAAGATATTAGTTTTCTGTTTATATTAATATAATTGTTTCCTTAGTTATTTTAATGTGTTAGAACATACTAATTTTAATTTCAAGGTACAGATACAATTCCTTAAATATATTTGGGCAGTAGTGATACTTGCAGAAAATAGTGAATCAAAGAAAATAAAAACAATAGCATTCCACCACATACAAGTCCTAACAATTTTCTAACCATCATGCTCTTTCACTCTCCACTGCAAACTCAGCCTCCTTTTGTATTTGTTTGGATTAGGATCTGGAGAGGGCAGAGCTTGGGGTAGGGCCCAGGCAGTGCAATTCAAGCCAAACCTCCCCTCCAGGGCAGGGTCCCCTATTCCTGCTTAGAAATACCCAGCATTCCAAAGAGAATGTTCCCCTTCTTCTCCCTAGGCTTGATCTCTCCTTGGGTTTCAGGCAAAGGACTTCAAGACTGAGGCAGTCTTAGAAATTTTCCTTAGGCTGCATTGCCCTTTATTTCTGAAGCAAAATTAGGTTTGATGCCCAAGAACATAGAAGGTGATAGTGAAGGGAAGAGGTGAGTGCAGCTGATTTTACCAGAGTCAGTGGAGCTAAGAGCCTGAGCTGGGAAGCTCACTGCAATCTCTGCCTAGAAGTCCTCTGTTGCAGGGACTGGGCATCTACATTTTATTTTATTATGTATTTATTTTTGAGACAGAGTCTCACTCTGTCACACAGGCTGGAATGCAGCAGCGTGATCTAGGCTAACCGCCTCCTGGGTTCAAGTGATTCTCCTGCCTCAGCCTCCCAAGTAGCTGGAATTACAGGTGCCCACTGCCACACCCTGCGAATTTTTTTTGGGGGTATTTTTAGTAGAGAAGGGGGTTCCACAATGTTGGCCAGGCTGGTATCGAACTCCTGAACTCAAGTGATCCACCTGCCTCGGCCTCACAAAGTAAAGTGTCGGGATTACAGGCGTGAGCCACTGAGCCCAGCCAAACACTTACATATTGGGATGCTTTTGTAGAAGCCAGAGGTGCTGTAAGAAACACAACAACCTTGAGACAGCCATGCTGTGAGAACATCAAAGCTAGCTAGGGAGCAAGGCTACCTGGAGAAGCAATGAGGTGCTAAACATGTGAGTGAAATTTCTTGGGTCTTCCAGACCACCTACCAGACACCAGCTAAATGCAGCTATGTAACTCTGATATCCTGTGGAACAGAAGAACCGCCCAGCCAAAGTCTTTCAGAATTCCTAGTTCACAGAAGTGGAGGAAATAATAAATTATTTTTTTAAGCTCCAACATGATGAAGTGATTTTTTTTTTTTTTTTGAGACAGAGTTTTGCTCTTGTTACCCAGCTGGAGTGCAATGGCACGATCTCGGCTCACCGCAACCTCCACCTCCTGGATTCAAGCAATTCTCCTGCCTCAGCTTCCTGAGTAGCTGGGACTACAGGCACGTGCCATTATGCCCAGCTAACTTTTTCGTATTTTTAGTAGAGATGGGGTTTCACCATGTTGACCAGGATGGTCTTGATCTCTTAACCTTGTGATCCACCCGCCTCAGCCTCCCAAAGTGCTGGGATTATAGGCGTGAGCCACCGTGCCCAGCCTGATGAAGTGATTTTTATACAGCAATCGATAAGCAAACACAGGGCTTTTAAGAGAAATGAAAGAAAGAAAACTGCATTCTGGGGATAGTAAATTTTGTATGCTTTTGGCGTAACCTGATTAGCTGGCAATTAGCAAAAAGGTCAGTCTAGGAATTCTGTACTGTAGGTTTTCTAGGGATATCAAAGAAGACATTTTAGTTGTTTATTCTTAAGAAAACTCTGGGAGTTTACCTATGAAATATCCTTGCAAAATGTGTCAGTGTCCCTTGTTAGCACCTTTGACCTTGTTAGTTCAGGTTTGCACCATTTCCTTTATTAGAATTTTATTAAAGACAACTTTGAGATTGGGAAAAGACCTGAGCCTTTTCTGACTCTTGAGTGGGCCTAGAGGATATGAACACTCTCCAGTGCCCCATATTCTCCCCCTTGTTTGAAGACGACAGCAGTGACATTATTCTCTCAAGCTCTTTAGTCAGCAGTCATGGCTACCTAAACTTGGAATGTCCTAAGGTGGCTCAGGTCATTGATAGGGAACTGGGGCCATGACCTTGGAAATGTGAGCTGCTGAGTGGGGTCAAGTGGTCTATGGAAATTAGGATCTCCCTGCATGGTGGGATTACAAAGGCGACCAAGAAACACAAACAGAAACATAAGAAAACGGAACTAAGACTTGAAATACCCACAGAACAGAATCATGAAATGTAAAACAAGCAAACTTTATTTGGGAGCTGGGACGAATCCATCACTGGTGACTGGAACCTTGAGTCGGCATTTTCTCCTCAGGAAGGTGGGCTGGAGTGGAGTGGGCTGCGTTTGGCAAGGGCTGTAGTGGTTTAGTATCTGGGTAAATGAGCAGAATCAGAGGTGCAGAATCAGTTTTCTGACTGTGGTACCTCTCACACCAACCCAGGACCTGTCCATGTGTCCTCTTCACTCTTTGTTTCCCATAGTCCCTGTCCTCTGGGTTGTCCTCCATTTTCACCCTCATCTCTCACCTGTCTGGTTCCCCAGCTGGGCCTCAGGCCTGTCTCCCCAGAGTAAATGCCCAGGATCATTGAGGAAGCGTTGGCTGCGCTGGCATGTTAGGCAGGTCTGTACTGTCCAGCGCTGTCCCCTGCAGCCTAGGGTGGACATGGGAAAAAGAGTGTCCAGGTTCAGAGTAATGGTCTCTTGCTGCCAGTTCTGCCTCCAGTGTTTTTCAGTAGGTATCCCTGCTCCCCCACCACACCTCCAATTTAAATGGACGTTTGATGGTGTCAGGCCCCTGTATAAGCTCCTTCAATTTCTTGGAACTCTTTAAGATAAAGTCCAAACTCCCTAACAAGACTTCAAGAACTGGCCCGTTTCCTTCTCCAGCCTCATGTCTTGCCCTCCTACCTCAAACTCCAGCCTCCTGAACTCTCATTTCCTTGACAGCATCACAAGCTCTTGTCAGGCCACCATGTGCAAGCCTGGACCCAGAAAGTCTTAAGTCCTGCCTGCCTCGGCTGATTGCCCCCCCCAACCTCCACTGCGTTTGCCTGACTCCGAGCTTCCCCTGGACATGAAGCTTCTTTTTCCACCCTGCCATCTTAACTGTTATTATGATAATGTGAATACTCCTCACCCCACCCTGCCATCTTAACTGTTCTTGCTCTGTGAATATCCCTCCGCCCCACCCTACCACCTTAACTACTCTAACGCCTATTCCCACCTGCCTTTGTAACTGAATTTATGGTAATGTATACTCCTCGCCCCTACCCCCACCACTGTAACCGATCCCATAACACCCCTGCCCCCTTCCCAAAAAATCTGTTCCAACCTATAAAACCAACTCCTAACCCACCGCCTTTTGCTGACGCCCTTTTTGGCCTCAGCCCACCTGCACCCAGGTGAATAAACAGCCGTGTTGTGGGGGGTATCTTCATTCAAAGCGCACGTTTTAACAGCTCTCTTGTCTCAGAGTCCTAACACATGCCAAGAACTTCCATCTTTCACTCTCTTTGCTATCATGAACTTTACCACCACTGGCATGAGTAAGTGAGCATTTTACTCCCCCAGTTAAAGTCTTTTTCAACAATTAGAATTTCAATGAGAATAATGAGTCTAGCACAGTACCTAACACATTTTAGAAAATAAATATTTGCTTAATCAATGACGGTGATGGGACTCATGTCCTCCGCAAAGCCAAGTAGCATCTATTATTGTGCATGGGTGGGGTTGCCTCTTAACAGCTATTCTCTACTGCCCACGCTGGAAAAAAAAAAAAAAAAAAGCCAAGCCCAAACCCTAGTTTGTGCAATGGAGTTAGCAATTTAATCTAAACCTGAAGAAGGAAGACTCCTGCGAATTTCACATTCAACATCCAATTAGAGGGAGGAAGGCGCTATTGGTCTCCAGCGCCCCCACCCCACCCCACCCCACCCCACCCCACCCCACAATGCTCCGCAATCGTCCACCTCGGCAGAAGCACTCACGTCTCTGGCGCTGGGTGCAGGTGAGGCCGGGGACGAGGAGGGAAGAACAACCTCGACAGAGAGTCCTCTTCACCGAAGGGTCCCTGGGGGCGGAGGAGGCAGTGGTCCCGGGCCCGCGCTCCCTCTCGCGTTCCTCCCGCCCGCCACCCGCCCCATGGCTCTCACCGCCGCAAGACGAGCCGCTTCGCGATGGTCCTCTCCGTGTGGCAGTAAAATCTTGCCAGCGCCTGGTTCTCGGGGTCCTGGGCAAGGACACAATGGGCGGCCTGTGGGAGGGGAGCGGACATTCTGGGGCTTGCGGCGCGGAGCATCGTCCCGTGGGGTCTTTGTCGCAGACTCACCTGGTACAGGAAGTTGAGCCTCTGAAAGGCCTCTCGGTCCTTAACCGGCCCCGCCATCAGCTAAGCGCTCTGGGGCCGCGCGCAGCCCCGCCCCTCGCACAGCCCCGCCCGGGCGTCCGCGCGAGGCCTCTTGGGAAGCGTAGTCCCCGAGGCTTCAGGCGCCTCCCCGCGGCCTCACAGACTCATCTGTTCCAAATTCAATCCCCAGCAATCCATGCCCAGGGTCCCTTTATAAGTTTTCAGTGTTTGTGTCTTCCTCAAGCTCATGACCACTCATATTACCTAGGGACCCAGTGGAGTAGGTGAAGTTCTTAAATCGGCTAGACATTTTCAGGACCGAAGCCTGGTCTCTATGCAGATAGTTTGGGGAGATGGTTATGAGCAATTTATACACAGCTAGAGCTTATGCCCTACTCTCCTGAAGTCAGAGGCAGATGCCTGTAAGATCTACAGAGGGCCTTTCCGGCAGTGAGGACCTACGCACGAGAACATGCCTCTAGCAAAGGATCTCCTTCATCCGTCTCCGGAAGAGAAGAGGAAACACAAGAAGAAACGCCTGGTGCAGAGCCCCAATTCCTACTTCATGGATGTGAAATGCCCAGGATGCTATAAAGTCACCACTGTCTTCAGCCATGCACAAACGGTAGTTTTGTGTGTTGGCTGCTCCACTGTCCTCTGCCAGCCTACAGGAGGAAAAGCAAAGCTTACAGAGGGATGTTCTTTCAGGAGGAAGCAGCACTAAAAACACTCTGAATCAAGATGAGTGGGAAACTATCTCAATAAACACATTTTGGATTAAAAAAAAAAGATCTACAGAGGGAAGGCACAGAGAAAAGCACTGGTGCCAGTGGGGGTGAAAGAAGGATCATGAGGGTGCTGGAGGGAGGCAAAAGGACTCTGGGTCCTCAGAAAGCACAGCTTACTCCCACCTTTCCACTTACCAAAGAGACCAGTTCCTGTTATGCAGTGCTGGACACACAGTAGGTGATCCTCACTTTCTGAGTGAATGGTTTCTAACTCCTAGGCTTAGGTACAGCACAGAAATCTGTCAACAGCATCCCCTGCCCCTGAAACTTCACACCACTCTCCACGCTGACATTCACCTCACACCCCTCCCTCATCTGTCTTCCATTTCTTCTGTCTGATGTCCTGTGACTCATAGTGACTATCAGTTACTGAGGTCAAAAGCAGATGGATGTGAGCTGGAGGGGTAGAAGATGAATGAACCCTGAGATGGGGAGGCAGCATTAGTCTGGAGAGGGAAGACTTCTCTTCCCTCTCAGATGTGGTGCCAGGCAGGGCTCCAGCTGGGAGGAAAGACATGGCTGAAACCTCTGGAACTAGTTTCACAGGGGTCCTCAGACTCAAATGAGAGAGGTGTGTTTAAAATATAGATGCAGGCCAGGCACAGTGGCTCACACCTATAATCCCAGCACTTTGGGAGGCTGAGGCAGGCGGATCACTTGAGTTCAGGAGTTTGAGAGCAGCGTGGCCAACATGGCAAAAACCCAATTGCTACTAAAAATACAAAAATTGGCCGGGTGTGGTGGTGCATGCCTATAGTTCCAGCTACTTGGGAGGCTGAGACAGGAGAATGGCTTGAACCCAGGAGGCAGAGGTTGCAGTGAGCCGAGATCATGCCACTGCACTCCAGCCTTGGCAACAGAGTGAAACTCTGTTTCAAAAATAAATGAATAAAATAAAATGTAGATGCCAAGGCTCACCCCAGACCTTGACTAATCACTAAGGGTGAGACCCAGGAACATGCATGTTTAACACCCAGTGATTCTTACACATCAGTACAAGGCTATCACCAAATTACCACACAACACAGAGATCACTTCAGTGGATCCTTTGTTCCATATTATTTTAACCAACCAAAGTATCTTGCCACAAAGAACCACAATCAAGGCACAAAGGTAAGAGGAGGAGAGTCTGGACAAAGTCCTGTTGAGGTGGTAGGAGGAACTGAAATGCCCTCAATAAACTGCAGATTCTTCTCAGTCATTTCTGTGAAGATTACCCAAACAGCAGATAATCCAAATTAGTTTAGTTTGGTTTGGCATGCATCACTTTTACCTTTTATGACAACATATGTACCCTATAAGTTGTTTATTTTGGCCTAACATGAAAATCATTTACATTCTCTGAAAAGGGAAATGGCAAAGGGTGAGGGATGGCAACAAACAAGCAAAAGCCTGGCTTTTGTTAACACCAGTTCCAGGACAGATGCACACAGGCCAAAGAAAGTTGCCTATTTGGCCATTCCCTATACATCACCCTCTTCTACCCTGCCCTTAGGGTGAGGAAGACTCTATTACCTTTCTTCCTTTCTGGCTTGGATACCTTGGCCAGGTAACAAGGCTGACAATTTGGGAGTAGCTACTTCATAACATTCTTTACGGCCAGGGCTTTGGATACAAACCTTTCTCTTTCCTCTAATACCTGACTCTCCTTTCCAATTTCTCTTGGGAAAACTGTGAAAGGATAGATATGTCTTGCAGGATCTCTTCTACCTTGGCTCTGGAGAGGAGCAAGGTGACTGACTTCTTGGTGTAAAGAGGCAGGCAATCAGCCAACTCTGCTGAAGGCTGAGGCAGGGACCTGGGTTCTCCTCTGCTTTCTTTTCAGCCTCTCCTTTCCACATTCCTACCTCTGGCCAATACTACCCATAATGGCAATCTTACCCTTGGAATGGAAGACCAAAAAACCTCCTTCCCCTTTGTTAATCTCTAGGAACTTGTTCCTTTACCCACTTCCCTGATCTTCTAACCTTGTTGATGTCCAACCTCTGCCCTCAGAAAAACTCTTCAACGTTGAGACCCATGAGAGCATCTGTCATTCATCTTTCTTTAATTTAGAGGTACAGACTCCTGTGATCTACCTCAAGAAGCAAGACTATCCTGGGTCAAAGAACCCCCTAAAAGATGTGCAGGGGTTTCTGTTTCCTCCTCTGGTTTGAGAAAGTCAGACCCTCACAGATTTTTTTTTGTTTGTTTCTGGAAAAGCCTCTCCTTCCTTCCCAACCCTTCCTTGTGCAACAGAAAACCTGATGGACTTCAGGGCAGATAATCCTCTGGGAACCAGCTCCTTGCCCTGACAGGAGGGAGACACAGCTGTGCTCTCTCATCCAGCCCAGTCCTACCTCTCCCTCCACCCAAAACCATCCTAGAAACTGAGGTGTTTCTCCAAGATGATTCGGGACTGGAACCAGGTGGACACGAAGACGTTCCAGCAGGACACAGGAAGGAGGCCCGTAGCACTTGACCCTGCCTCACCCCAGTTATTCCCACATCCCAACCTGTCACTCCCAATCTGTTGGGGGTCTGATGGTAAGTGGTGCAGCATTCTTCCGTCCAGCCCGGATGCCCGGGTAGAAGAGGGGCCAAAGTTTCTCAGTAAAAGTATCAGTGAAAGTGTAGATATGAGAGCGGTCTGTGACATTGTAGAAAGACAGTGTGCCGGCCTCATAGTCTAGGAATATGCCTACCCGCTTGGGTTTCACCTTGATGTGCAAAGGGGTAAAAGGTGTGGTGGTGGCTGCGTATTTGTCCCCATTCCATAGCCGCACCCGCCAGTAACCAGTCTCAGGGAGTGGAGTCAACTCGCCCTTTCGGCTCACAGAGTCCCGGCACACACCCACTGCCCAGTGGGTTTTGTCGCCCACCTCCACCTCCCAGTAGTGTCGACCTGAGGTGAAACCCTCAGTAGCCAGGACGCAAGGGTAGAAGGTGAAACGCCTTGGTGTATCAGGAAGATCCCGGAGTCTTGTCTCCACGAACTTGACACTCTTACGATCCTCCGACAGGACTAGGTTAGGATGAGCCGTCTCAGGATCCAGGGTCACATCCGCTGGCGGGAGAAGCCAGAGTGGGGAGCTAGATGAGGATGGGAATAGCTAAACGCCCCTGCCTCACTCTTCCAGCCTGCCTTACAGAGCCTGGTCCCTTAAAGGTCCCCAGAACAACACGGTTTGGTTAACTTTCTCAATCCATGGTGTCACCTAAGGCAGGGGAGAAAGCAATGGCTCATTTCTCACACTGACCCTGAAGTAAACATAATCTCTTGACTCTGCAGGGGCTGGTAATCTAGGTTCCCGCCTGGTCTTCTCTTCATCTCCCTCTGACATCATCATTTATTTTACTATGTAGACAAGTACAAGGTACAGCCTGAGAGCCAGAGAAAATGGAAAGTGTTAAGAATGCAGAGCAAGACAGCGTATGGCCTAGGGATAGAGTGACCATGTGTCTATTTTCTGAGAACTGGCCTCGTTTATGACTTTATGACTATTTTTCCCTGCATATTAACATTAATATAATGATACTCCCTTTCACTTTACTTTTTTTTGAGATGGAGTCTCGCTCTGTCCCCCAGGCTGGAGTGCAGTGCCACAATCTCAGCTCACTGCAACCTCCACTTCCTGGGTTCAAGCAGTTCTCCTGCTTCAGCCTCCAGAGTAGCTGGGATTACAGGTGCGTGCCACCACACCTGGCTAGTTTTTGTATTTTTAGTAGAGATGGGGTTTCATCAAGTTGGCCAGGCTGATCTTGAACTCCTGACCTCAGGTAATCCTCCATCCTTGGCCTCCCAAAGTGCTATGATTACAGGTGTGAGCCACCCAGCCTTTCAAGGTTATGCAAGTTTACATGGTAAATTATATAATCACTCTACCCGGTGACTTTGGCAAATTATTTAACCTTTCTGGGTCCCTATAGACAAGTATTGACCTAAGAGTAGACAACACTTAAGGCTTCCTCTCACTCCAAGTTCTGTAACTCAGGGTGACAGTAAAAGCCAGGTAAAGGGGTAGGTGTGGGTGGGAGTAAGAAAAGTGAGAGATGGGATAACTCAAACCCATATAAGGTAAGACCTAAAAGCTTTCTTCTCTCTAGTGTTTCCTTCTAGTTTCCTTTTGGTAACAACTCACCAATTAGCTGTTTAAGGATTTTCCTTAGGGCAAAGTACTGTCGGGGGAAATTGCTGAAGTTCTTTTCCAGCTCTATGGATACTGAAGTCACCTCCATGGTCTTCACCTTCTCACATCTAGGAAGGATAGGGAGACAGGGAAGAAAGGGTGGAGTCAGGGGGAAGCTCCAGCCAAGTGACTATTCAGATGTTAACATCTTTAGGGAGTAAATGAAATTCTCTATCTTCCCTCTTTCTTCCTCCTCCATGAAGAGCTCACCTTTTGCTTTCTTTTAGTAATCCAAGGAGAGCCTTATGATCTTGTGGACAGATCCTAATTTTGAGAGTGAGCCTCAGAACTTTCTAAAAATATTCCTATATTTCATGCAAATGGTTGACTGTCCTTCATGCTCTCTGAACTCCTTCTTCCTGCCATCTTGTTTGGACACAGTTCCACCCACTGGCACAGTAGAATCTGGTTCTGCCTATCATTCTCCTTCTCAAGGAGTCCTGACGTTTACAGGGGAAAAGGGATTATTATTCTCAATAATTTGTTCTCTACCTGGCTTCATGGGGTCAATGAACCTTCTCCCATACCCTGCCCAGATGCTACATGACTTTCCCAATCTAATCCCTGACCCAAACTCCTGACTGTACCCCTCCTCTCTAAGCCAAGACCTAACTCACTCAAAGAGATATAACAATCACTTACTTTTCCAGGGTACTTTTGACATCCTAGAAGGAAGGAGAAAAGAAAGCAATATTGGTCCTGGTAGTCAACGGTCCTGAATGCAAAAGGTTCCCTTTCCTCCCCAAAGTTCCACAGCTACAAAATAGGCGTAGGATAAACTGAGGGTCACACAATGCAAGAAGAGCTCCAGAGGGACCTGAATGTACTTCTTTCAACCTAATCCCTACTTTCAATTTTTGGTCATCATGAAACCTGGTCATTTATATCACTTCCCAATTATTTCTTTTATGTTTGTCTTTGCTCTTCAAGGGTGCTGGGAGCTCCCTACAAGAATCAGGGATTGTGTCAGTCTTTACTCTGTCCCCCAAGTACCAACCACATATCTCAGTCTCCTTGAGGATCAGTACAGAGAGTTCCGGACTGGTGGCATAGGAACAAATCACACATTCCTGTTACCATTTGGCATCCCTTGTCTTGCATTAGTTAATAAACATTATTAGCTGGTCAGGCACAGTAGCTCATGCCTGTAATCCCAGCACTCTGGTAGACCAAGGCAGGTAGATCACTTGAGATCAGCAGTTCAAGACCAGCCTGGCCAACATGGTGAAACCCCATCTCTACTAAAAACACAAAAATTAGCCGGGCATGGCAGTGTGCACCTGTAATCCCAGCTACTTGGGAGGCTGAGGCAGGAGAATCGCTTGAACCCGGGAGGTAAAGGTTGCAGTGAGCCAAGATCATGCCACTGCACTCTAGCCTGGGCAACAGAGCAAGATTCCATCTCAAAAAAAAAAAAGAAACAATAAACATTAATAACTGAGGGCTAATACTGATTTGTGAATACTTGGGGTCCAGAAGACAAAGAAGACAAATCTCTGTCCCACAGGATTTCCCAGTTTAATGTGGAAAGCAGAACACACATACATGAAAGGACACAGGAATAAATACCAAGCAATACATAACATAAATGTACAATGAAGCCTCACTGATTGAAATGCTGGTAATCTAATCTCTAAGATTAAAAAATATGTTCCCTACAGTTTTGCTAACATCATTCATTTACTTAAGAGAACAAACTATTTCAAACACTTTAGAGGTATTATTAATATTTACATATCAAAAGCAAATTATTATTTATACATAATTTCAGGCTCCCTCATTTTATTGCACTTTGCTTTACTGTGTTTTGTTGACACTGTGTGTTTTTCAACTGGAAGGTTGGTGGCAACCTGTGTCGAGCAAGTCTAC